TTGTTTTATGCCCAATAAAACAATGTGTATATTAAAGGCAATGAAAACAAATATAGTGAAAGTAGGGTATGCTATTCATTATGTGCAAAAAATGGGTCTAAAATCACATTACATTCTAACATTGTAACATTACAATCTAACAAGAAAAATAAAGCTTTTTAAGACAGAAGTTCAATTCACTAAACTAAAAATGAAAGTAAATAAACACAAGAGCACAGATTAGTTGCATTTTATTTTTGATTACCCCATTCCTGCCATCTGCTATCATAAAATACACTTACTTGTAGGTTTAAAATTCTACATATGACACAATTATTGAGCTCTTATTCTATTGTGCTCTGTCTATTTGGTGCGCATGTGCAACTCGATATACCACCCAGCCCTAACTTCACCTTTAAATACTATTTCAGCTCTCCATGCTGTTGTCAGTTTATCATAGGATCGGTCTGTTATTGTTTTTATATTATTGTTTTGATGTGTTACTGTACTGCTGTGCCCTCCTTTACAGGTTGGGAAACGTGAAGCCTGGGCTAACAGAAGATCAACTATGGAGGGCCAAATACATTTACGACTCTGCTTTCCACCCAGACACAGGAGAGAAAATGCTGCTAATTGGACGTATGTCTGCACAAGTGCCCATGAACATGACCATTACGGGTTGCATGCTTACCTTTTACAGGTAAGCACACTGCCGAACTGGATCGCTTATTGTTCTGGACACCATATGGGCAGGACGTGTATATAGACCTGAAAATGTTATACATTAAAGCCAGAAAAGGAAACTGAGTAAATCTTTCCATGGCCTGGGATAAATATCCCCGCTCAGTTCTGTGAATATTTCCTCAATGAGTCATCATGGAAAAGACAGCACTCCTACTGAATAGCTTAGTTTGGTGGTTTGATTCAGGGTTAGGAGGTTGACTGTTTTATGGTAGTATTTTGTTCTCTCTTAAAACATTGACTGAGAGTAAAAGAACATTATGACTAAGATTGGGGAAAAAATTATATTTCTCTTTTACTGGTTTTGTGGACACTTTTTTTTACTTGGATCAGAGAGTCATCTGCAAATGAGTCATTTTGAGCAAGACCAACATGTAACTCAAATTACAGCCTTGTGTGGGAGATTCTTATGACTACAGCATTGTTTATGAAAGGGTTTTTAATTAGAAATAGTCTGAAATAGTTAGAAAAATGCATTTTTTATTGAATTTAAGTCTCTCATTGTTATCAGGACAACCCCAGCAGTGGTGTTTTGGCAGTGGGTAAACCAGTCCTTCAACGCCATTGTCAACTACACTAACCGCAGTGGAGATGCGCCAATCACCGTGAAGTATGAAGGCTAAGATCACTACTAGAAACAATCTAGATGCAGGTTTCTATATGGAGGCCTCATGGCAGCCCCTTTCTTGATGGTGTGATGTGTTTTGCCCACACTATGTTGGTATATTGCACAATTTAGTTTCCTGAAACTGTTGCATGAGCCAAATTGTCATGATGACACAAATGGTGGAATCTGTTCCATGGAGCAGAGATGTCAGTGTTTCATGATCTCTACACATTCTGAATACAGGCAGATTCTGACAGCATGCTCATTTATTCATGTTTCCATTCTGATCATGTGTTTATTGACAGTTTATCATCTAACATTCTAATTGTCTGTATATAGGTTATGCAGTGAGGCTTGTTTTAAAATTGTTTATGACATGTTTTAAGGATGAATGTACTACTTCAACATTGTAGCTTTTCTAAACCCAAGTCTTGATAAAGGAGAGTTGTGCATTCTGTAATATCAGTAATTATGATGAGCTCCATGAGAAATATTAATGGTACTGATCTGCTTAGTAATACTTAAGACATATGTATTTTATTTTAACTTTTGCAGTCAGCTTGGAGCAGCCTACGTTAGTGCTACCACTGGAGCTGTAGTAACAGCCCTTGGACTGAAGGCTCTGACCAAGGTCTGTCCTTTCACTAAACTACTCAATATTTATAGTTAATTACAGAGTGACTTTAAGCAAACAAACATTTTTACCATTAAGATATCAGTTTAATACTCACTATTGTTTTAGTTTGTTTTCATATATACACTACTGTTCAAAATCAATTTTTTTTTAAATGATTTTATTCTTATGCTTACCAAGCATTTATTTGATAAAAATTGTGACATTTTATTACAATTTAAATAACTTTTTTTATTTAATTGTTTTAATTAATGTGTTCTCAGCAGCCATTACTCCAGTCAGCAAACAGCAAAAGATGTTTAAAAAAAAAAAAATATATATATATATATATATATTAGACAGTGGTTAAATATTTTTATCTTTATTACCCTGCGCAAAAATTGGTTTACCTCTTTCTTGCCTTAATTGTTGACTGCAGTTTTTACATCTACACAATATATAGCAATAGTGACTTGAAATATCTGATCTCAGAGCTTGCCAGCTATTATGGGGCGTTTTGTTCCATTTGCTGCAGTGGCAGCAGCAAACTGTATCAACATACCCTTCATGAGACAAAGGTAAGTGAGAAAACTGGTCTTCAACATTTTAATTACTAAAATGAGCGTATGTTTGTGTTGAATCATCTATTGAATTAATTTTCTCTTTTCTCAATTCTTCTACAGAGAGCTGAAGTATGGTATTCCTGTTACTGATGCTGAGGGAAAACGTCTCGGAGAATCAAGTGAAGCTGCTCAGCAAGCCATCGTACAGGTGGTGGTGTCTCGTATCGGCATGGCAGTGCCAGCCATGGGTAAGCTTTTGTAGATGTTTTTCGTCTAAATATTGGAGTTCCTCTATATTTTGGTGTAAGTATTCAACCACTAAACTGATTTTATCTACCTCTTATTCACAGCCAAATAAAGTAGTTAAAAATGAAATTAAGAGAGTGTTCTGAATTTTTCTCAAACAGCTATTCCTCCGGTTATCATGAATGCCTTAGAAAAGAAGGCCTTCATGAAGGTAAGGAATCCAAAACACAGACTCATTTCAAGCATCTCTCTGAATCTGTGTGAGAGGATGTGTTTTTAAACTGCTTTGTAAAGTTTCTGTTTGTTTCTCAGCGGTTCCCGGTTCTCAATGCCCCTGTACAAGTTGGACTTGTTGGACTCTGGTGAGTTTTTAAGGCAGTGTTTATTTGCTATACAATGCAATCATTGTTTAAAACAATGAATGAATGAATGACTTCTCCATCTTCACAGTCTGGTGTTTGCCACTCCACTGTGCTGTGCTCTGTTCCCACAGAAGAGGTGAGTGCTTCTAATTTAGAAACGCTTTTGCCGTGGTTTGATTGACATGCTGATTTAGGTTGTTGTTGTTTTGTTTTGTTTTTGTCTTTGTGAAGTTCTATGAAGGTGAGCAGCCTGGAGCCGGAGCTTCAAGAGAGGATACGGCAAAACAATCCTCACATCACCACAGTTTATTTTAACAAGGGTCTGTAATCAGGTCTAGGTTGCAGCCTATGTTGATGTCCTCCACTGCACTGGAGGTTAGTGGGCACAACTTGAAGAGTAGAACATATTTATTTTTGTTTTGCTGTTCCGAGTTATATATTTTTGTCAGTTTTACCCAAGTTATTGTACTATCCAAAATGACTATATGTACAGTGAACTTTTCTGCTGGATTTAGTTAAAGATGCTTGAATGTTAACTGCTGCATTGCTTTACGCCTCCATCTAGTGTTGACTGCACACACACAGACTTATTTACCAGTATATTAATTTCTTTCATTTATTCTAGATTATCATTTGCATATAGTATGATTTTTTTTTCCCCCTAGTGATCTTTGGATTTCCAGGTTTGTGGCTCAAACGTCTGACTAACTTCGCTCTCCCATGCGAGTTGTTACTAAAGACCGTTACAGAAATTGGGTTTTCAACTTTATTCTGCCAAAAGGAGTATTTCCACCTTTCATGCTCCACTATGTGCCCAATAAGTGCACTTATGCAGTGTGCATTATGCACTACAAAAGAAACCCTGAGATGTGCAAACACTCCTTCATGAGCACATCAAAATGCTAATTATTGGGTGACTACCACTGATATCACTTCCTGCAGGTCATACTTCATTATTTCTGTTAAAGCCTTATAGATGTGTGGTTTGAAGTCATCAAAAATGTCTCTGAGACATTTGGTTGTGTGGACTGTAGTTTGTGTACTGAATGGTCAAAAATGATATTTATTGAAATATTTAATACTTGTTATTAGCATTTGTGATTGTATGAATAATTTCCCCAAATAGGACAGAATGTGTCTGGGGCCTGGGCTAAAAGAAAGAAGCACTACATACAGTGGGTACAGAAAGTATTCAGACCCCCTTAAATTTTTCACTCTTTGTTATATTGCAGCCATTTGCTAAAATCATTTGTTAATTTTTTTTTCCTCATTAATGTACACACAACACCCCATATTGACAGAAAAACACAGAATCGTTGACATTTTTGCAGATTTATTAAAAAAGAAAAACTGAAATATCACATGGTCCTAAGTATTCAGACCCTTTGCTCAGTATTTAGTAGAAGCACCCTTTTGATCTAATACAGCCATGAGTCTTTTTGGGAAAGATGCAACAAGTTTTTCACACCTGGATTTGGGGATCCTCTGCCATTCCTCCTTGCAGATCCTCTCCAGTTCTGTCAGGTTGGATGGTAAACGTTGGTGGACAGCCATTTTTAGGTCTCTCCAGAGATGCTCAATTGGGTATACTTTCCGTACCCACTGTATCTCAGGCTGCAAGAGCAAATTATAAGAACAGAGTTTGCTCATGTTTGATAGAGGAAAAATGCTTGTTTTGAGTATGAAGAAAAAGTTGCTTCATATGCCCTGCTTTGATCATGTATTACATCTCAGCCATTTACTATTATGGTAACAACAATCAGATTTATTTATTGTTGTCATGGGGGAATCTATTATGTTTTTTTTTTTTTTATTAATATAATGTATATATGTTGATGATGTCAGTCATATTGTCTGTAGTATATGATATAACCATTAGTAAGTTCACTAGCCTCTGGTCCTGTAACCTGAGCACATATGATCAAACTTGTTTTCCCTGACGTATTGTGGTAATGTTATGGTGTGTAGTTTTTGTTGTTTGGTTCCTGTTGTTTTTGTGGATGAAGTTAACAAAACTTTACAGTTTTTTTTGTTTTGTTTTTTTGCCATCACTCTAACAACATTGTCGTTACTCCCATCATGTCCTCTAAAGAGGCAGTAGAGATCTGTTGTTTTTGATTTGAACACTCCATTGTAGGCAAATAATTTAGCCTAATATCTAAGCACAGTATGCTGTTGAAAAAGGTAGCCCAGTTGAAAGCTGTCAGGGATTGATGCTTGCTTTATTTAATGCACAAATTCCCAGTTACTATGATGATAGTACAAAAACATGTCTAGATTTGATATAGAAGTGTTGGATATGTTATGCAAATATGACTATTTGATTGTGATTTATACAGAACTGTCTGATTTCTTCCTGGAATGTCCTGTTACACAGTATCACAGACCGTGTCAAGAACCACCTAGTGTCAAGACTCGTTCTTCCTTTCAAAGTGTACCAGCAGATAAAGTTCTGTTGGTCGTGTAATGCTCACCAGCGTCATGATCCTTTTTAGTGTAATGCTTAACAAAATAAACACAGAATTCCAAACTTAAAGCGACAGACATTATACTGTCAGTACTGCCATAGCATCCTCAACCACACTGACCCAGCTTACTGTCTGTAATATCAGCAATACAACAAATTATTTAGCAAAGGTGGTGTTTTCAGATCTTGTAAATTGCACTAGACCACTGACAATGTTTTTTTGGATGTAAACCCACAATGTTATAATTGTTAAAAATATTATGTTAATGAACCTATAGTGGTCATGTATCATTTTCTATATAATTATAAAATTATGGTTGTCCATCAATTAGTCATATGTGGATCATAATAGATTAAATCAAAAATATAGTCACACCAAATACATTTGGCATTTTACAAAAATCAGACCACGCCAAAGAAAATTAAGATTGACTGCATATATGTTTGATGTTTAGAGCACATATTGATAAGTCTCCTATAGTGGAAAGTGCAGACAAATGCAAGTGCAATAATTGGTGTGATGTAACTTGCATATAAATGTTGCACCAGGAAGACCCACTTCAGCACAATTATTATGGTTATTATTGGTGCTTATTGTTTTATATTGTTTTGTTACATCCTTGTGTATTTTATCTGGTAGTGTAATAAAGATATTAAACTATGTTTGAGACTATATTTTGTTTGTTAGCATTTCCTATAGAAGAACATCATACTTAGAAGAACCAAGAAAAAAAATGGCATATAACAGCTGATTTAAAAGAATAGTTCAAACAATAAGTAACATTTCCTCAAAATGTACTTAGCCTCAGGTCATCCAAGATGTAGATGAGTTTTATTTATTTTTTGGAACAGATTTGGAGAAATTTAGCATTACATATTGCTCACCAATAGATCCTCTGCAGTGAATGGGTGCCATCAGAATGAAAGTCCAAACAGCTGATAAAAACACAAGTAATCCACACGACTCCAGTCCATCAGTTTATGTCTTGTGAAGTGAGAAGCTACATGTTTGTAACAAATTCATATACCTTTTTAATTTCAAAACATTTTTTCCAGCTGAAATACAATCCTTTTCTGAATCAGGATAGAAATATTCACAGATCAAGCAACATTTAGAAGCAAAAAGAGTTTTAAACATGTCAGTGGGTTTTGACGTGAGAGGACAACAAGTGATGGACTTTTCCACCGGATGAAAAGTTATGAATTATTTAATCATTTTGGCCAGAACCAGTGCTTTAAAGTTAAAACGCCTTGAATTTCTTACAAACACAGCTTTTCATTTCACAAGATGTTAATTGATGGACTGGAATCATGTGGATTACCATGATGCTTTTGTCAGCTGCTTCAATTCTCATTCACTGCAGAGGATCCATTGGTCATTCATTTATTGAAGGGAAGTATGTTTTCATTTTTGGGTGAACTATTCCTTTAATCAGGCATTTTCTGAACAGGATGGCTTGGCTTCCCCAGATGGAACACAGATTTCTAATTAAACATGATTAAACAAGCAAAATGCTATTATTCGGGCCGTTTCAAAGTCCTCTGCCTTTAAAATGCAAGCGTAATAGTAGGTGAACAGAGAAAAGCTCTTTGTTGCATGTGCAAATAATATACTAATCAGAGATTAGAGCTGAATGGCTCAGTAGCAAGTTGTGTTGTGGAGAAATACAATGTAAATGACTGCAATACATGCAATTTCTCACGTGGATAAACAATACTCAAAAGAATGTCAAATGAAGACAAACTGAATTTTTGGAGATGACGTTTATTATTCATTGTGTCCACCCCAAGCTGAACCTTTGGCTGCTCACTGACCAGAAACCAGCAGGTTTGTAAGCATGTGTTTGCATCAAATCTGCTCTTTCAACATTGAGTTTGGAGACAGACTTTCATTAATACACATACAACAAAAAAACACCATTGTGGCAGCAGGCAACCAAAGGAATGCAGTAAGGTGAAAAACAACAATACAATGATTCATGACAAGCTATTTCTTAAGTGCAAAAACAATATTACTTAATTACACTACATTAGTCTCATTTGTACATACCAGAATTAAAATGAGGCCACAAGCAACTCTGGCATTGCCACTTAGCTCTTAAATGTACCAGTCTGTGCTAACAATTCAACATAACCTGAGCTTCTCTCTCTATTCACAGCATTAGTAGGAGATATGAAGTGTGATGAGGTGGATTGTGACTAGATCAAGGGAGAACTTTCCTTAATCTCTATTTTAATCAAACTTGGCAGCTTTGCTGCACCTGACAAACTTGGACAACATCTACTTTTCTACCACAATTTTCTTAGCGGCTTCCAAAACCGACTCTATGCTGACTTTATCTCCAAACTCCTTTTCTCTGTGCTCTAGAAGAACCCCCTGAAAACAACAAAGAACAGGATGTGTGAGGACAAGCACGTGGCTGAAGCTCTGAAATGCACTGCAAAAGCACTCTCTTGGGTGCCATGAAATATCTAAATGATTACCTGTTCACCAGATCCGATGACAAACACTCCTCCCAGGATGAAACCTTCTCCATTCACGTTGCCCTGGTAACCTGACCTCCAGGCCCTTATAAAGTTTTGCCACACTCCCAAGCGAATGAAACCAAGCCCACCCATCTTCCTCTGTTGTGGCCCATAAAAAGCTTGCTGTGCACAAACAGACACCCAGGCGGAATAATGAATGAATAATCAACTACTGGTAGCTTTTTGCTCTATTTGGTAATACACATCATGCAGACACGACTGAGCTTCCGTTTACCATATTTGATGTGCTCTATGCATGTGCGTCAGAAGACTTGGATTAAACCACTCAATTCATATGGGTTACTTTTATTATTTTAAATGTCAAAGTTTTGGTTTTCGTGGGCTTAGAGTGGAGGCACAGAAAACTCCTAGGTTTCATTGAAAACATCTTCATTTGTGTTTCGAAGATGAACAAAAGTCTTGTGGGTTTGGAATGAGTAAATGATGACAGAATTGTAATTTTTGGGCAAACTATCCCTTTAATGTTTACTAACCTTTTCATCCAGGAAAATCTCCCCTGCGAAGTGAGGCCTGAAGTCCTGAATCTCTGTACCTACATTCTCCTTCACAACAGCATACAGAGGGACCCCGAGCTCATCCAGCTGGGGCTTCAGAGAGGACAGCTCAGAGGCCTCCTGTAGATAAACAATCATGTTATCAGCAGCCTCTCATGTTCATGTATTCATTATTTAGACTACTGTGTTTATACTTTTTGCAACTAATAGTAGTGTAGTATTCCTGGTTTCTTTTTAAGGAATACTTCACCCAAAAATTTAAGTTTGCTGAAAACACTCATCCTCGGCCTGTCCAAGAGGTACATGAGTTTGTTTCTTCATTGGAACAGATCTGGAGAAATTTAGCATTTAGTTCTTGCTCACCAGTGGATCCTCTGCAGTGAATGGGTGCCGTCAGAATGAGAGTCCAAACAGCTGATAAAAACATCATCACAATAA